GTTACGGAGCTCCGGCTGTACATGCGGCGGGGCGTTGCGGAGCTCCGGCTGTTTATCTGTCATTTATGAAGATTCAGCTATGTACCTTGCTTTCACAGAACACCTGCTATACACCGCACATTAATGGGCCTCCTGCTGTGTACTGAATATTTATAAAACCCTACTAAATAGAGCATTTATAGAGCCCCTCCTGTATACCTGCATTGTCTTTGGAGAGAGGTAGAAGGTGTGAATATACTGCTAACCTCAGTATATTCACAAACGGACATTGACTGGAGGAGCAATCCGGAGATGATACTGGAAGGATAGTTCAAGGAAAACAGGTTACGGTGTGGACTGGGGGGCTCAGTGCATGTTTAGTACATAGGGACAGGGTCTTCCTTGCTAGGATTCTGCACCTTATGATAACACATGTGCTGTGCATGCCCCCGGCCCAGGGCTCTTGAGAATAAGAAATCGCTGGAGAGACCGAGTCCTGCTGCCCAGGGGCACCGGGTCCAGGAGGTGACCGGGAGCTGGGAGGCTGCGTGTCTCCCTAACCTTGTCTCGTCTCTGCCCCCCTTTGTCCCCCACAGATCTCAGGGTGGACCCAAGCCCTTCCGGACATGGTGGTGTCCCACTTCTTTGCGAAGGTGAGTCTGGTGTGGCCTCGCTGCCCGAGTCTACACTGAGTGACGCCTGCCCCTTCCCTTGGGGCAGGGAGGAGCAGTCACACCAGCGGTGCCACGCGGATGCCAGGAACCAGCGTGCCCGTTCCTGCCCCCAGCCCTTTGCGCTTCCTCCCTTTCTAATGCAAGCCTTCTTGAGCAGCTCGATTGAGGTGCAAAGACTGCACATACTGAAATGTAGCATTTAACGCAACATCTGTGGACTCCCAGAAAAGCAGCCCTAAAACCAGGGTGATGAGCTGACTCAGGTCCTGCAAAGTCCCTGGTGCCCTGGTCACCCCTTGCTCTCAGGCTGCTGCTGCTGTCTGTCCCATGGAGTGTCGCCCTTCCACCCTGTCCTTCCACTAACCGGCCTGTGCTCCTGCGGGTCAGCCTGTGCTCCCCACGTCCCCAAGGCGTGGCCTGCTACCCGGGGGTCAGCCCGTGCCCCCCACGTCCCCAAGGCTTGGCCTGTGCTCCCCGGGGGTCAGCCCGTGCTCCCCACGTCCCCAAGGCTTGGCCTGTGCTCCCCGGGGGTCAGCCCGTGCTCCCCACGTCCCCAAGGCTTGGCCTGTGCTCCCCGGGGGTCAGCCCGTGCTCCCCACGTCCCCAAGGCTTGGCCTGTGCTCCCCGGGGGTCAGCCCGTGCCCCCCACTCCCTTGTGGTGGGTGCATTGGCTGCCATGTCTCAGGTGCCGAGAGGCGTCTGCAGGCGGGTGGGCCTGGATCGCTTGTCCGTCCCTGCCATGGACCCTTGGGTTATGCCCACATCAGGCCTCCTGGATGCATTCCTGGACTTTGCTGTGTCCAGGCTTGCCCTGAGGATGGTGCGAGTACTAGCCCTGGGAGAGGGCCGTGAGACACGCTGGCGTCATCCCCAGTCCGTGGACGCAAAGGGGCGCAGCGAGGCCGAGGGCCCTGGGCTGCAGCTGGCCCCATGGCTGCCTCCATGCCGGGTCCCTGGCCCGCGCCTGCCCGGACCCCGCTGGTGTGAGTGGCCTGCCCTGGACTCTGCCTGTGCCTCCCGCTGGGACCTCCCCCTGGGCCGGTGCTGGGGCTGCCCAGGGTTTGAGTGAAGCCCTTAGAGGCCCAGCGCGAGGCGACTCCAGGTGGGGCAGGTGTGGCCACTCACCTCGCCTGTGCAGCGTGTGTGTGACCGGGCAGCTGGTCGCTGCGGACGCCCATGTGAGGACACTGCCCCGGCCTGCACTGGCCTCCGGCACACAGGCTGTGCAGTCTCACCCACCAGAGGCGGGTGCCCTTGCTCTTCTGGAGGCCAGCTCTGAAATCGGGAGATGCCGAGCATCCGGGGGATCCTTCGGGTCTCTCCCAAGCCCCTGCGCCCCTTGGCCTGTGGTGCTCAGGCCATCGCCTGCCTCCTCCTGCTTCACCTCTGTCGCTACAGCCTCCCTCTGCCTTGCTAGTCAGACACTGGTCACTGGTGTGACCTGCCCAGCGAGCCCCGAGTGACCTCATCTCAGGACCCCTCCCTGGCAGCAGCAAAGACCTTTTCCCGAGGCGCTGGCACGCACAGGCTCCTGGGTGTGCCCGGCTCTTCCTTCAGGGCCGCTGGCCTGCCCTCTCCTCTTCTCGTGCCTCGCTTGTGATTCGCTGTCCCCGGCCTGAGTGGTCCTCTGAGCCTGCGAGGCCCGTGCCGAACAGGCGTGCGAGTGGCCTGGCTGTGTACCGGCTTACTCAGGTTACTCAGGGTGGCGGTTGCTGCCCACGAGTTGCAGCTGTGTTCTGATCTCAAGTCCCTGCCCAATTCTTCAGGCTGCTCTGTCCCGATTTCCCTCCCCCTAGCCGGCTGAAACAGCCAGGGACTGTCCTGAGGACACCTGGGGCTTCACACGCGCCCCCCGGCCCCGGGCCCCCTCCCCACCCCGCTCTGGCCAGCTCCAGTCACACCGGCCCTTTCTGTAAACCCACAGCATCTGCCTCGTCCACATGAGAAACGGGGCACGTTCCTGACACGTTTGTCTGTCCCCAGTCACCTTCAGAAGGGAGCCCGGGGGCGGGTGGAGGCCGGCCTTCCGCAGGGAGTCGAGGTGGTGGCCCGTTCTTCTGGCAGCTTCCATGACACGAGTTGGTTTTGTTTTTCAAGCATGAACAGGTTGTCTGTAACTCTCCCTGTGGGAAAGCATCCCCGGCCGGCCGTGTCCAAGGGCCCCCCTCAACCCCACAGCCTTATGAAGTGGGTGGTCTAGTTGTCCTGCTACGTTTCAGAAAGGACAGGCTCAGAGAGGCCGGACAGGTGCCCAGTGAGGGGCAGTGAGGGGCCCCGCTCGGAGTCACATGGCTGGCTCCCAGCCCTGGAGGTGCCTGCGGCTGGCTGGTAAGCGGCTTCAGCCCGCCTCGGGGCAGTGGCTTCTGGACCTTTCCAGGTGCCACAGCGGTCTTCCAGATCAGACGCCATTAGCTCCATCTTGTGTCTGCATGACGGGAGCACTGACCGCGGCCCCCTCTCGTGCAGGAGGAGATGCAGAGCAACGTGGAGATCGTGCACACCTACCGCCAGCACATTGTCAACGACATGAACCCTAGCAACCTGCACCTGTTCATCAACGCCTACAACAGGTGGGGCGCTCTCCGTCACGTCGGGGCTTTGCTGGTCTGGCCCATGGGGCAAGGCAAGGGAATGACTCAGCAGAAGAGTCGGCCCCTGAACTGAACAAATGGAGTAATGGTACCAGGGAACCCAGTCAGGGACGTGACCCCCGCCCCCATTGGTTCAGAGTGCTTTTTGGGGAGCTGAGCATCCCCCGCTCCAGACCCCAGGGCTCAAGTATAGTGGGGCGTGGGATCAGGCCCTCAAGGGCTGACTTCAGGCGGGAAAAGTGCAGGAGAGCAGAGGGGTATGGAGCACTGGGGCGGGGGGAGGATGGAGGGCCGGGGGGCTGTGGGACCCCCAGGTCCGAGGACAAGGAGCCCTGGGAGCTCGGGCAGCTGAGCCACCAGGGGAACCTCCAGTGAGTTTGCTCTGGCTGCCCAGGGGCTCCGCCATGCTCCCCTGAGGGCCAGGGACAGTCCAGGACGGGGAGGGGAGAGGCCCTCTCCGGGGTGGGGCGCTGATGCTGATGGAGTATCCGTCCCCACAGCCGGCGGGACCTGGAGATCGAGAGGCCAATGCCCGGGACCCACACGGTCACCCTGCAGTGAGTCTGCTCCCCACGGGCCCTTTGCTGCCGGGTGGGGGGTGCCCTGGTGGGAGGGGTCGCCATCTACGAGAACTAAATGCATCCTGCCAGGGATAAGCACCCACCTCTCTCATCCTCCCATGGGCAGGGGTATGGTCCCTGGGGTCTCCCAGACCTAGCTGGGACCTCCCAGCGCAGCGTGACCCCGCTTTGGGTAGAATTTATGCAGCACCTACTATATGTCAAATGCTGCGTGAGATTTGACATCCCGAGCTCACAGAGGGCTAGGCCAGGGCAGCCCCGCAGCCGGCAGGCTGAGCCCGTGTGGGTATAACTGTGGTGCTCCCGCAGCAACGGTGCCTGTTTACGGCTCTTTCTGGTGTTTGGCATCTGCACTGGCGCCGCTTCCGCCGTCAGACTTGCCCTTCTGTCTCTGCTGTCGTGATGGCCAGCAGGTCCGACTCCTCCCTCAGCTGCGCCACAATAAAACAGGACACAGAAACCCTCTGGCTACACCACACAGAGGTGTGCATGGCTGCTTGGTCCTTTTGTCCTGAGGACACAGCAGAGGATGCGGGAGGAGCGCTGGAAAGAGCCGAGGGAGCTGGGATGTGTGCACCCGGCCTGCGGCCCCGGGCGGGCACCCCTTGCGCCTGGCTCATGCCTTCCCTCCGCGCCCACAGGTGTCCTGCTTTGCTGGTGGTCGGGGACAACTCACCTGCCGTGGATGCCGTGGTAAGTGGACAGGGCCAGAGGCTTTGTGTTTAATTCGTGGGCGACTCCAGTAGACTTGGCATGAAGTCTACCTGGCCACCCCACCCGGCCCTCATCACGGCGGCGACCCCCTCTGGGCAGAGGGCCGAGCCCCGGCCTCTTTCCCTGGTGACCGCAGGCCCGGTTGCTGGGCAGCGAGCCCTCTGCCTCCTCTCCCAGGCCCCTCACACTCTGGCCTGCTGGCGTCTGTGGGCACGTTTGTCGCGTGGCTCCCTGGCTGAGAGACTGCCCCTCCCTCCTGGGAGTCAGGTGCCCTGATTGTCTAATGGGGAAGCGGCACTGGGGGCTCGGGGCTTAGGCCAGGCTTTCTGGCTCGCTTCACCCTTTGATTCCTATCTGTGATGCAGCCAGCAACTTACCTTTCCAAGGTCCCCGTAGCTGGGAACATGGGAGACTCAGGTTTTCGCACAGAGTCTAGAATAGCCATGATGTGTGGTGGGTGACTGTGGGATCTGCTGACGTTCATCTAGTAACCCCCCTTAATGTACTGTGTGTTTCTTGTGATCCGAGCACTGGATGCATCAATAGAGACATACTGCTCCTAACAAAGGAGGTGACAGCTTTATTATAAGTACTTTGAACATGACAGGTTATATGTGAGTAGTTTGCCCAGTCCTACATGTACTTTTAAGAGTATCATTGGTAATTTGAGAGACAAACCAGCGTGGTGGTGTTGGGACTGAGTTGGTGAACTTATGGAATCACTGACCCAAGCAGCTGGTTAACAAGGACATTTATTTAGCAAGTATTGTTAGAGTACCTTCTGCATTTGTACAGTCTTCATAATAACCTTTAAAAAGATATTATCCTCATTTTACTGATAATAAAACTGAGCCTCAAAGAAGTTGAATCACTTAAGGTCGTCCCTAGAATTCAAAGCCACGTATGTTAAATCCTAAAACTCACACTGTGGTATCCTGAAATCCACACATTTTCCTGTTAGCAGAAATATGGGCGTGTCTGATGAAGGGAAGAGGAGGGGGGACATGCCTTTGGCTCCAGGTAGAAAATCAGTTTCTTCTGCCTTCTTTGTCCAGGTGGAGTGCAACTCGAAATTGGACCCTACGAAGACCACCCTCCTCAAGGTACAGAGGGAGTGGGGACTTGCGTTTGTTCTTTCTAGAAAACACTTCAGTGTTCTGCAAAACTGCACCATGCTTGTTTGAGGCAAAGCGGGGTGTTAGACCCCTAGACACAGTCACAGAGGTCTGCTCACACAAGTCTCCTGGGTGCTGGCTGCAAAGATGGGCCGGCCCCTTCTAGAGACCAGATTGGCTGGAGTACTGGCCGTGGAGTTCTGAAGCCGGCAGGGCCAGGAGCTGTGCTGGCCGGGGCCTCCCAAGGGTGGACAGGGCTGGGCCTCCCACAGAGACTCTGCTGTGGAAAGGGAGGACGCTGTCCCCCAAGGCCGCTGAAGGGCAGGCCACCTGCCAGTTCACCTGAGCACAGGTATGCCCTGTCGGTAGGTGAGTGGAGCATCTGCTTGCTGGTCAGACAGACCCTGACTGGATCCTTACATGTTCCAAAAGCCCCCGTGGCCTGCTCGCTGCCTCTAAAAGGGGCGCTGTACCCCTAGGGTTGGGGAGCAGAGTGTTAACCCCAGGGCCTGGCCGAGGGCCTAGTCCGACTGAGCAAGAACACAGTGAAGTATGAGACCATGGGGATGAAAAATGGGGTTCAGTGTCCCCACCCCTCACTTGCCCAGTCCCCTCAGCAGAGTGGGCAGGAGTCAGGGCACCAGGGAGCAGGGTGGCGTCCACTGGAGCTGGTTCAGCGCAAGGATGCCCCCAGCTGCTGAGAATGACCCGCTTCCTCTCTCTCAGATGGCGGACTGTGGCGGCCTCCCCCAGATCTCCCAGGTGAGTTCCAGCGAGCACCTGTGCCCTCCCCAGGTGGGGCTGAGCCTCTGAGACCCAGACAGCCTTTTCCCCACTCCCTGCTATCCCCTGTATGACAACTGCATGGTCCAGATCTAGGGGTGCCTGCCCCAAAGCTTACAGGCTCCCAGAGGTGGCCCGAAGTGCAGGTGTGTGTGTGTACACCCTGCAGGTAGTGTGAATGTGCACTTGTGCGTATAAACACGCTGGTCCAGGTAGTGTTTGATGCGCATAACCCGAAAATAGCCCCACCGACTTGCCAAATGGCCTTGTTAACCTGCTCTTATAATTGTGCATCACGAAAGCGTTGTGCTTTACCTTAAAATGAGCTACTGTGTAAATCTGGGCCGTCCTCCCCCACGCCCCACCTGGCCTCCCTTGCTGAAGGCTCTCGGGGCCCTCTGTCGTGCGGCCACTGCTCAGTCATAGAGACCAAGCGCCAGGCCTTTCTGGCTCCTGTGCCCACCCTCCTGACCGTGGCTTCTGCAGAAGCCCCGGCGGTATGGCACAGGTCGGGGCCCTGGCTCGGACGGGTGGTGTGATTTGACCAAGCTCCCTCCACTTTGAACTGAATTTGAATTCCTTCCTGGCCAGCGCTAGTTTTGGTCTCCCGCATCATGGCTGCTTTGTCCAGTGACCCCACGGTGACCCAGTCACTGTGTGGGAAAGGGGGTGTTGGCCAAACGCTCTAGTGGAGGGACCGGAGGCCTCACTGCGGTAGCCCCTCATGACCTGGTCCCCGCACTGACTGCTCCTGCCCTTTCTCTGCAGCCTGCCAAGCTGGCCGAGGCCTTCAAGTACTTCGTGCAGGGCATGGGATACAGTGAGTACATCCCTTCCCAGCGCGTGGCGGGGTGTGGGGGGGGACCACTCTGCAGTGCCCTGAGCCGGCCGAGAGGAGCGTCTGGGTCACCTGTCACTGGCCAGCCTGGCCCTGCACGCCCGAGGCCTAGGAGGAAGCGTTCAGATGGGTGGCCTGTGGGGGCAGCGAGGGGTGCTCGTCTCCTGGGGACCAGTAGTGGCTCCATTTGCTGAATAGAAGTGATTTCACAGCAGGGATCTTGAAAGGTTCAGATACAGACTATCCCTTGAAGCATCGAGAAGCCATCAGTGAGACATAGACATCTTGTTAATTTTGATTACGTGCTTTGTTAAAAGATCTCCAGTCATAAGTATAGTAATGGTTGTAATGTTTGGAACGATGATGGTGGTGGTGATGAGGACAGAGATGGTGGTGGGGATGGTGGTGGTGGTGATTTGAGACAGTGATGGTGATGATAATGATGAGGGTGGTGGTGGAGACAATGGTGGTGATGCTGAAGATGGCAGTGATGGTGTTGAAGACGTCGATGATGTTGGGGGTGACGGTGATGACAAGGCAGTGTGAATGATATCATGGTGATGATGATATCATGGTGATGGTAGAAAAGATGAAAGAGTATTAGTGCACCCCCTTTCTGCCCCACTTGACCACACTGTTATCCTCTGAGAAACTCTTATCCTCATTTTACAATTGATGAGGCTGAGGCGTTGAAAGATTCAGTCAAGAGGAGAGGAACCCATGACAGTTCTTTGGAAACTGTATTGCTTAGGTTGAAGCACAGCATTTCTTTGCTATATCCTTAGGTTTGGGAATGGAAGAATAAATAGAAGCATCATTCCAGAACTTCCAGCTTTTGTATGACGGTCCTGGCTTATTTGCTAGACACACGCAGTTCTTTTTCAAGAAAGCAGCCCACGAACAGGGCAGACGGGCCTGGGCCCGTGGGCTCTGTGGGGTCTGGCCACGGTGGGTGTGGGGGTGGACCAGCCCCGGTCCCGGGTCCCCTCTGCTTTCTTTTGGCTCTTTCTGCCAGTGATCATTTGTGGCATTATAATTTGTGGGCCCATCCTACCTAGGAAGTCTGAACTTCTAGTCTCGCTTTTTTCTTTGACACTTAAACTGTTTGCTTGTTTAAAATAGTAACAGTGTGTTTGGGGAGCTGACCGCAATCTTAAGGGTGGCCTCTGCTCTTTGCAAGCTGGATTGATGTGCCCGGGAGGCCTCCGTGTCCCGGGGTGCCCTCTTCCAAAAGCAAACAGCCTTCTGTGGCCTCCTGCCCTCCCCGAGAGGCGGCAGCCAGGGACCCGCCTGCGAGAGCCATGGTGTCCCACGCGGCCCGAACCCGGAACCCCGACTTGTTTGTGTTGGAACTGACCGGGGTCTAAGTGTCTGCTTTCAAAGCGCCTTCTGAGGAGAAAGGGATGCAAGGCAGGTCTGTTCCCCCGCCCCAAGTCAGCTTGTATCCCTAGGAAACCGGTCATCCTGCAAGTGAGCGGGAAGGCGGAGCTGGAGTCCCGGAGTGCCCACCAAAGAGAAATAAGGCTCCCTGGACCCTCGAGCAGCATGGGGTTTGGGGGTGCCCACCCCTGCACAGGCAGACATTTGTGTATAGCTGGTGACATCCCCCAAATGTAACTGTGATAGCCTGTGCCGGCAGGAAGCCTCCCCGACAGCGGGAGCTGGCCAAGAACGCGCCCACACCCTGTGTGCATGAGCTGTGTGTTCTCGCTGCAGAGAAACTAGAGAAAGGAAAAGGTGACGGGATGGTCAAGGGGGGAAGAGAACAGCAGGGACTCCCCGGAATCCACACCGCCGTGCACACGAGACCCCCCGCGTGTGGGCCCCCCCACCCGGGCCCCCCACCCGGGCCCCCCACCGCCCACAGTCCCCACCGGTTTCCCAGGGTCAGCTCTCATCAACTGCTGTGTCCACCCTTAAGGCGGTGGGCAGCCTGGCCGGCCCCCTGCACCCCAACAGGCCATCATCAACCCAATGCTGTGAAGTAAATAAAAGACGCAGATTTGGGATCAAGAAGTAGGGGTTCAGGGAAAATGTGTGTGCAACAGATATGGGGTGGGTCTGTAAAGAATTCAAATTCTTTATAAAAACAAGCAAGTTCTTCCCGAAGGAGCATCGGGACAGCGAAGTGCACTTGTCTGTGGGTCCGCACACACCCCCGCGTCATTAAAGCCGCCCCACCCGTGGGGAGTTGTCGCGCCCCAGTGTGGGAAGGGTGTCCACCTGCGTGGCCTTTGCTGCAATGTGGAACCGGGGGGTGTGGCTGTTTCCTGTGGGTGCCTGAGCACACCCCAGAAGTGGATAGTCTCCCAGAAAGATAGTTCTAGAGGCCAGAAGTCCAAAATCAAGGCGTAGCCGGGGTCCTGAATGCTCTGGGGCTTCTAGGAAGACTCTGTCCTTGCCTCTCGAATCCCATTGGCCTCTGGCCAGCTTCATGGCCGCGACTTGTGGCCATGCCCCTCCCGCCTCCGCCTCTATCTTCACGTGGCCCATGTGTCTTGTCTCCTTAGAAGGACACCAGCCGCTGCGTCAGAGCTGGCTCTCATCTATTAGCTGTATCTACACAGGACCAGTTTGCAGATCAGGCTGCATACCGAGACCCTGGTGGTCAGAACTTTGGGGAGGACACTAGTCAGCCCCACGTGGGAGGGGGCTGTGGTGTCTCCACTCCACTTGATCAGCTATCTGCTGCGTGCGAGAAAGTCTTCGTTCCCAAAAAGTGGACAGTGCCTTTGATGGTTCCCAGGTGCACAAGCCTCTCGGGAGAACTGGCAGCCCTGCCTCAGTTTCCCCACCTGTGGCAGGCAGGGGTTAACTCGGCAGACCCTGCTCATGCACGCATGGGTGCTGATTCTGGAGGGCCAGGATGAGTGCTCCCCTTTTATAGATGGGGTCGGGGCTCAGAGAGGGACTCACCCAAAGTCACGAAGCACTTCAGCATGTGGCAGAATGGGGGCTGGGGCCAGCTGTGGGTTCATGCACTGTGTGACTGCACGATTCTACCCCCGGGCAGCGCCCTGGTCTCTGTGCACCGGCTGGTATGAGGACCGTGGGAACCCGGGGAGGCTGGGCCAGGTCCGGCCGGGAGCGGGCCCCGCGGCGGGTGGGAGTGCCGGTGGCCTCTGCCATCCGCTCACTGCCGTCTCTCTCTCCCCAGTGCCCTCAGCCAGCATGACCCGCCTGATGCGGTCCCGCACGGCCTCGGGCTCCAGCGTCACGTCCCTGGAGGGCGCCCGCAGCCGCTCCCACACCAGCGAGGGCACCCGCAGCCGCTCCCACACCAGCGAGGGCGCCCGCCTGGACATCACCCCCAACTCCGGAGCCACCGGGAACAGCGCGGGGCCCAAGTCCATGGAGGTGTCCTGCTAGGCAGCTGCGGGGACGGCCCCCCTGGACTTCGGACTGCTGTAGCTGCCCCTCCGCCCCCCGACCCTGCCTGCCACACTGCACATAACTTGGTATTAATTAATCCAAAGCTTATTTTGTGAGAGTGAGCTCTGGTGAGGACGAGGTTCCATTGGGCCTGTCGAGGGCGGCCGGGCACCAAGGGAAAAGAAGCATCGCAGTGGCCCGTGTCCACGCGCCGTGGCCTGCTGGTCACGGCCCGCCCTCGAGGCGCCCGGTCCCCCCAGACAGGAAGCCCTTCCTCAGCGCAGGTGACCCGGCCGCCTGTTCTCACGGGCACTTTGTCCGGAGCCTGGTCTGCCTCCTTCCCGCTTCCTCTCCCACTGGAGAAAAACTGACCCCTTTTCTAGAAACAAAACCCTCTCTGATGGGGAGAGGGGGCGCGGCAGGGCGGCGGGCTCCCTTATGCAGCCAAACAGGAAGTGGGAAGAGGTGGAATTAGGTGATGACCAGAGGCCTTTGGAAAACATGTGTCTGCCTATGACCTTTAGGAAGTAGATTTTGAAAGTCCGGACGGCTATGCACTCCCTAGGGCTGGCGCCTGCCGGCCTGTGTCCCGGCCTTTTTACCGGCACTGAACAGCGCTCAGAACCTCCCGGCCTTGCAGAGAATCAGGCTTGCTGACCGCGGCCTCCTGGGGGTCAGCCCGTGGCCCTGCCCTGCTCTCCTGGAGGTTCCCGGCCCAGGGCAGGCAGGCCATGAGGCTGTCTTCTTTGCAATGAAGGGAATGTCCCCAGCTGCTGGCTGCTGTGAGGACTCTCCCTGCAGTGGGGGGCGCGGTGGGCTTGCGTGGTTTTGGGAATGAGGTGTCAGGGATCTGTCTGCGGTGGTGACAGAGTCCAGTGTGATGGTGATTTCAGGCCGTCCCTTGGCGTCCCCGCGACTTCAGCGTGTCGGAGGTAAATCCAGCTTCCCATCTTGATGAGCGGGGTCGAGTCTGAGCTCGAGGGCGCGCGTTGCTGACCTGCTGCCGTTACGGGGCTCGGGGACACCTGTGCGCTCTCGTCGGGCGGGGGCCCTGCCTGGGCCGAAGGGTGAGGACTCCGGAGGGCTGTTCCGTGGGAGCGCGGCTCCAGCTTGCCCCCCTCCCCAACCTCTCTCGCCCAACGGGGCGGCGCCGGTGACCGCGGGCACCGGGTGTAGCTGCCACCACCCTGCACGCGTGCTTCTGACGCTCATGCTGGCTAACCATGGCCCTCTCCGAGGGACCCGCGCCCTCGGTGGGATGTTCAGTCCTGCTGGCACACCAGCGAGGGAATCCGCCATGGGGCCTGGAAGTTTCCAGGACCCCCAAGTCGGTAGAAGGTCTGGAGGGGCAATGCCTCAGTTTACCTGCTGTCTACCACCTGGGAGGCGTCCCCTGATCTATGCAGGACAGTCGGGGGCAGGGGTGGGCAGGGCAGGAGTGATGTGAGTGCCCCCGGAAACTGTGTACAAGTCTTTCCAGAGGAGTTTCTTAATGAGATATTTGTATTTATTTCCAGACCAATAAATTTGTAACTTTGCAGCGGCCTGTGTCTCTAGGGTGGGTCTTTGCTTCCCTGGGGCCACCTCTGAGGTAGAGCAGGGCTGACCAGTGGACCCGCCACACATGTCACTTGAGACGTTCTCGTGGCCCCATCAGAAAGGTTGAAATCAGTGGAATTAATTTTAATTTAATACAGTCCCCTAGGCCAAGTAGCCAGCATGTTACCATGCCAACCGAGGACCAGCACAATTATGAAGCTGTCGCTCATCCTTTTCTTTACACTAAGAAGCCCCCCCCCTCCCACGTATTTCAATCCCAGCACATCCAATTTTGATCTGCCCCATTTCAAGTGCACCAGAGCTCGTCCAGCCCAGTGACCAGGGGGTGAAGCTTTTCAACCTACAATGAAAGGGAAATGCTTTTATTTCCACCATTCCTTTTTATTATATGTTTCGGCGACACTGTAAATGAGATTTGTCAACACAACAGGTCTTTAACTGCATTTTGATTCAAACGTGTTATTACAGATGAATTTAAAATGTGCAGAACAGTTGCACGGACAATGCTGAGTTCGGGCAGATCCCCAAACCCGGTCACCCCCGTTGTTACAACTCTCAGGGCACATTCGCCTTGACTGGAAGCGCGCATCAGTGTTGCTTGCTGCTAGCCACACACACTTGTGAAGACGCTTCTCCCAATGGCTGTGTGCCGCTCGGTCCCACTCTCGGCACCGAGGAGCCGAGTCAGCCCCGCGAGGCGAGGACACCAGCCAGGAGGAGCGGCCGTGCGTCTGTGAAGCGCCTGGCCTGGGCCCGGCCGGGGGCCAGGTGAGGCAGGAAGAGCTTGAAATGCAGAAAATAAGCCAGGAAGATAAAAATGCTGGATGGTTTCATAACAGGAGCATAAGGGGTCAGGAAAAAAAAATGAAGTAAAAATGAAAAACAATGACCAACTATAACCCAGAGACATCCTACGGCGGGTGGAGAGAGGAACAGGGTCAGAAAATGGGGTGGGGAGGGTGCACAGGACCAGGGTGATGGCAGAGGGGTGAAGTGGGAAGTCCATGGGGATTACACCGAGATGAAAAAATGCACAGTGAAGAATGATGTAAAAAATAAATTCATTTAAATAAAAAATAATAATAATAAAAAGAAATGCAGAAAATAAAATGCATGACCAGATATGGCCTCCTGGGGACATACTCGCCCAAGGCACAGCTGTGATGCAGCAGCGGCCTTCGCTGTTACAACAGTGACGCTGAGGCAGGTCTCGACGTAGCCTCACGGAAACGTTGGCTACTGTACCTGCTTGAGAATCCGGCCACACAGGTGGCAAGCAAAATAGCTACGACTTCACCTGGTGAGACGAGGGCTCTTGCTGCATTGAGAGGACACGGCTAACTTGAGTTAGAGGTTCGCGAGCACAGAGCTTCCCCTACACAGGCACAGGCATCTGAGCTCTGCCCTCGCTCCCGCCAGGTGGGGCCAGGTCTCGTCCTCCAGGTAGGCACCCGCGCTTCGTGGGTGCAGGACCAGCGTGACATCTGCATGACTTGGGGACAAAGGAGACGTGGGGATGGAAGAGCCGGGGAGCAGGCCCCAGGGCAGCGGATGCACATGGCAGCTTCCAGAGCCCCAGCCTCCCTGCAGCCTGGAACTGGGGCTGTTAGACTGAAGTGTTACAGGTGTTTGCAGTATCGGGTGCTATTTAGAGGTGGCTCTTTTGCCAGCTGGAGCTATTTCTGCTCCAGCTGCTCCTTTTGGTTTCTATCCCTGGACCCCTGGGTCTCCACAGCAGCTGGGAGAGCAGGTGTGCTCCGAGTGCCCCCCAGAGCAGGACTCCGAGGCCTCCGCCTGCCACCTTCCTGGTGCTCAGTCTCAGACATCAGTCACTGCTCTGGCCCCTCCGTGGGGCCACCTGGTTACAAGTCCGGGCTGGGCTGCTGGGCTGCCTTGAAATCCTTCAAGTGGGCCCCACATAGAACCCAAAGGCAGAGGGTGAAGGTGGCCCTGGGGAGGGACATGGGCGTGGGGAGAGGCCTAGTGAGCAAATCAGCCTCTTTCTAAACTCTGACCTCTGCATTCCAAAGCACAAGGGCACTCCCAGCGCACACACACACTCATGGCCTTCCGGTTCCTGACCCCGGGGCCGGTGAGGTCCTCCTGTCTCTTAAAGTGGAGACTCTCACCAGTGTCCCCTCACTGTCAGTCAACTGTGGCGAGGCTCACACTCCTCCCACCCCTCCCGTATCCACGCAGCGGGCCGGAGACAGACGTGGCAGCCATGGCCGTGTCTCCGGCACAGTTAAGTCTGCCAAGCAAACTCGCCTTTCCTACTGAGGTGTCAAGGAAGCAGGTGGCAAGGACCCCCAGAGGCGGCCTGGCTGCGCTGCTGGTACCCACAGCCCAGCGTCTCTTGTTTCCATGTCTCCAAGGCAGCCACGTGCCCAGCTCCTAATAGGAGGGCCTTGTTAAAGAGGTGATGGAATTTCCTCTGAAGACATGCGAGCTTAGTGCATATTGCAGCTGCTGTCCTCTCTGTATCCTTCATCTGTGAGGACGAGTGATCCTTGCTCCCTAGATAAGGAAGCCAGGGCTCGAGATTAGGGGGCCGGGATCCCAACCGGGCTGTGCGTAAAGCAGCCCACTGAGCTCACGGCTGTGCAGACGCCTGAGACGGCTGGCGTCTGGTAGAGCATTGGGTGGCTCCCAGATGACACCACACACCCCAAAGGCTTTTATTGCCTGCAGGGACGTTTGTCCCCCACTAGATAGTCCCTCCTACCCGGACCCAGTGACCTGCACTTTCTCCATGTTCTATCTGGTTCTTTTATTTTTTTTAAGATTCTTATTTTTGCTTACAGAACTGGGGTTCAGGCCAGAGGTGTGGTGGGTGAGTGAGAGGATTCCCCAGAGACAGAGTGGGGAGCAGAACAGGCAGATGGACAAAGTACACTGCTGAAGGGAACAGCGGGCGGGTCAGGAGAGGTCTGCCGCGCCCTGTGGGTCAGCTCCCTGGAGGGGGATCGAACTCATGCTGCAGTGGCTTTGGAGAGCTTCGTAATGTGGTGCTTTAACCCGTCACGCCACCAGGGAGAGCCCTCTATCTGGTTCTTAATTCTTGTCCATCCTTTGCCGGCAGGCAGACAGTTTCTCATTGCTGTCAGTCAGTAAACCTGTATCTAATAGCTTCTGCTCCCTTCTGCCGAGTGGACTCAAATCCACGGCGAGTGCTTGTGAGTTGCAAGAGGAGGCCCTTCAGGACTTTCTCTTTTAGGAGAAAGCTCCCCTCCGTTTGCAGAGTGTGAACGACGAAGCCCTGTCCAAGCTGCTGCCAGCGGCTCCACGCAGTGCTGCTCTTGAATCGAGGTTCAGCTACGGGGGCTCTCAATGCAGGGTTGCGCTCCTGTGCTCACCGCAGCGGGGGGGCGGGAACTCGAGCTCTGTCCATATGCTGGTTTGGCTCACAATGCAGTGCTGTACGCCTTTCCCAAATCCCCTTTTCCCAAATCTTTAACCACTTGCTATCAGAAAATTTCCCCAAGGCCTCACACATTCATCTTGAATGCAGGCGTCCAATTCCCGGTTTAGAAAACAGGTGGGCTTCAGAATGGGGGTGTTGTTGGAAACAGCTCAGGGGCCAGTTCTCTCTTTCCTGGACCCCATCTCCTCTTGACATTACTGTCATAGTGAAGCGCTGGCTGTGGGGTAGCGGGAGGGGGGGATTCGGGTAGAGCGCGCCTCCTTGTCTTCATTTACTCCCACCATCTGCGTGTCAGTCCCTGGGGACACGTGAGAGTGGAGTCTTCCTGCCTTCAGGAAGCTGGGAATTGGTTGCTATATAATTTCCAGGGCTCCTTTGCGCCCCCAACACATCGATCTTATGAAAGCATTATGATAGCTTAGCAAACTAGAGAGTCAAGGAAATAGATAGTGTTGCAACAAGTTGACCCGTAAACCCAATGTTCTGAGGGCAGATGAGTTTGGTGTCTCAATCAGAAAGGCTGAATGGCCCAATCAAGAGCTTGACACCCACTTCCTGCCAGGAGAGGAGACCCACCGCAGGGTTCAACCCAGGCGAGGTGCTAAAGCGGAATGGGACGGGGCAGTGGGCCCAGGAGCTAGACCCTGCGGAGACCTCCCTTCTCGAGCAACGAGCTTTGCAGCCGCCGGGTGAGCTCGCTCTGCTTGTTCCCTGCTTTCCGGCCACTTCCCGTGGAGGCTGTGGCCACACCAGCTGCTGCTGTACGTTGCCCTGTGACCGTTCATCTTAGGCCACGCGAGACAGTGCCGAATGCAGACTTAGGGGCAGCCTGTTGATGATATTCTCCGTCCTTGTTAATACAGGACTGCTGCGTTTTGTTTTGTTTGTTTTTTTTTTTTTAAAGATGGCTGCCTAGCCAAATGGCAGCATAAAATGAAGGCGTAAAAAGTAAAAAGAGGGCCCTCCCTGGTGGCCCAGCGGGTTAGAGCACAGCACTACGAAGATAAAGCTGCTTCAGCATGAGTTGGGTCCCTGGCCCCGGAGGTGACCACAGGGCGCGGCAGACCTCTCCTGACCCGCCCGCTGCTCCCCTCAGCAGTGTGCTTCCTCAATCTGCCTGTTCTGCTCCCCACTCACTGGTGGCTCTCTTGCATATCTGTAACAAGGGCCAGATAATAGTCAGACTTGTGATGACCCTGGTCCTCACCACAGCCTCACTCATTGTCCAGCTCAGGAAACAGACGCAGCTAACAACAGCGGCCTTCATGTTTTGCTAAGTGTCCAGCTCGAGTCTAGAATTTTGTGTGCGCTGTGTTTGACCCACATCAAAAGCAGGCACCGTCCTCTCCAGACGAGGAAACTGGCTCCATGAGGACTCCAGTCCAGAATAAAGACCCATCTAGCTCAAGTCAGAACTTTGCTGCTGTATCATGCCGCCCTCAGCTTCTTGTTCTCGGAACCCTGTTTGGCTCCTAAGCCGGCAGGCCCCGGCTCTTCATAGCACCCTGGTCCCCAGCCCTGCAGGCCTGCTAGGACATAGTCACCGGCCAGAGGTCAAGGTCACCAGCCTGGCTAGGGGGGCAGAGAGCACTGAGCAAATGAGTGAGCAAAGGAGGGAGGGAGAGGCTGTGTCCCAGGCAGCAGCTTCCTGCCCAGAAGCACAGATAGCTCTGTCTTTTGTGAATTCCAGAATTCAGATCTCCAAGCCCTGCTCTAAACGTTTCGCTGTTTTTGTCGCCACAGCTAAACTGTCTGGAGCTTAATTGCCTGCACGGAGATCCCCACGCTCTGGCATCACGTCGTAGTAACTGGAGAGACAAACCCCACCGAATGCAGTAACCCCGCCTGTCGATGATTTATCACTGTAAGGAGGAGCGCTATAAACAGGGAATCTGAGCAATAAAAACCCTTCACGTTGAACAAACACGTCCCACGCTACACAAATCATGAGAAAAACGAGGAATGTTATAAAATATGACAGATGGCTCGTGTTATTTTTCCTTTATTGGGGAATTCCAAGACAATTCTTTATATGTTTTTCGTAGTTACAAAATGGCAGTCGGATACTTCAATACAGAGTTTGAAGTTGGTGTCTGGTGGACACACACCAACACGTCCTGTCCAGTCGCACGCTGGCCACCAGTCACGCAGGACCCCAGCCAGGCAGTCACGGTCTCAGCTCCTTCGCATCAAGAGAGGCCTTGAGCTGCAGTGACGTCACTCGGCATACTCGGCCCAGGCGGTGTTAATGAGAAACACATGATCTCGTCCTTGGGGTGACCTTCTGGAGCACTCTCCGAGTCACGTTGCAGCCGTGGTCAGCCAAACACCTTTGTGCCTGGGCCAATGGGCAGGCCAGTTGTACTCGGTCTCCGGAGGGATGGCCCTGGGGCCGGACACACCTTGGTTTAGGATCCTGGATTTAGCAGCTAGTAAGAGGTGGAGCAAGTGACTAACCCTCTACGAGCTTCAGCTGTGTTCTCTCTAAAATGACGGAAAGGTGAGAATCCGCCCTCTCAGGGATTTACTGGCAGGTTCAATGAGATGTGCTGCAGGCGCCCAGCACAGGCCGAACACTCGCTCGCTGCACACTTAGGAGCATGGGGGCTTCAGTGAACTCACCAGGCCCACTGGGATCCTCTCCCACGCCTAGGCACGCCAAGGAGATCCACTGTCAGCACCAAGGTGAACTTCTTCACTCAAGATTGAGGCATCTTTGGTGTATGGCCCCAGCCTGGCGTCCGAGGTGACCGGAGAAATGAAACCCAGCTTTCGACTGGTCCCTTGCCACAGGGTGTCTCCTAGAAGCTGGATCCAGCCTGTGTTTGGAAGCTTCTCTGCGAGCAAGGCAGAGTGGAATAAACTTTTGGGGGATTTCTCAACTCTTGGACCATGGAGCCACTATGCACACTCAAAAGTGTTGAAATGACTAATGAGATTAAAAAGGCAGGTGTGTTAGTGCCAAGCAGGCGCGAGAAGGGAAGTTCCACCTAACTGTCCATCTGCAGACCTCGCAGCGGGGAAGGCTCTAGGGAAATGCAGAGGGCAGCCAGAGCCCGCGGGCCACAGAGGCTCTATGGCTCAGCCACGCGCCTTCCCTGGACTCGACACGAACCTCACACTTTGCCTCTGCACTTGCGTGGGGCAGTGCCTGTCTCACCACCCCAGGCCACCCATTTCCAACACAGCCCCTAACTGCTTCCACCAGGCTTCCTGTGATCTTGGAAGCAAAACTGGGTTTCCTACTTTGGAATGCAAACTCACTGAGAGCCCAGCCCTGGAGCTTCTGCTGAATTTTAAGCAGGGTTATGGCAGGTGTTTTGCACACTAGGGAAACCCAGCGCACCCACGTAGACTTAAAGAAGGCTGGTGTAGACTTAAAGAAGGCTGGTCTCCATGCAGATTTCCTTTATAAAAATAGGCATCCTTGAAATGTGTCTTTTTCTATGGTCATGAAATTTTTATTGATAAAAGTTATATTGTCACCTAACTTTGGGAGAAGAGAGCTTCTGAATTAAATAGGAACATGTGCAAACTCCCTTCACTCCCCAGCCCATCCTGAGAGCATGGTAAGCCTTGCACCTGCGAGACATGGAGGGGTCACAGGAAGGGGGGGACGCATTCCTGCCTGTCTTTCATTTAGGGGGTCCCTCTGCATACCACACAAAGTCCCCTCATCATTAAGTCTGAAGCTTTGTGTAAACGAACTCACTTGTTAAATACAGGCTGCGAGCTGGTTCTGATTTGAAGAGGGAGATAACCTGTAAGAATGGATAGATTTCTGTCTATCCCATAATGTTTTGGGTGTTTAAGTACTTTAAATCACCTGAAAGCCAGACACTTTTTTCTCCAAGGTAAAGGGCCAGAAAGACAGTAATATGAGCAAAAAATGAGAAATTGCTTATTCCAATGCATTCTGCTCCTCGTACATATTTGGAAGCGCTAAAAGCAGGGAAAATTATGAGTTGAACTTGGATTTGATTCCCAAATTCCCAGTGGGTGACCTTGGTCAAGTTTCCTTACCTTTGTTAAGAGCAGATATCATAACAGGCCTTTCAACGTGATGGAGAAATTTTAACTCGCTGGCATCTGCAAAGCACTTACACAGTGACTGGTACACGGGAGATGCTACATTAAATTATAACAGTAAATATTTATATTTTACTAATAAAATAAATAATAGCCTTGTTCCTGCAATAACAATCTTCTCTTTCTTTTAGCTTCAACTCTTTTTGGCTTTTAGCCCCTGTTACATGGATTTCTGTTTCCAAACAACTGGTAAACCCCGTCTTCACTCAGGAAACCAGATGGGGTCTGCGGAGCTGAGCTGGTGGAATGGGTCACTGTGACAGACAGACACGCGTCCAGGGTCCAGCAAGCCCTGCCACCCCAGGGGACTCGGAGGGACCCCACCTTCTAGTCTGACCCACACTCCATCTGACCCCACCTCTGTCACAGCAGGCAGGTCCGACTTGGAGTTCAGCTGGGCCTCCCAAAGAGCAGGGGGTGTCCCAGGGCACCACTGTCCAGGGTCAGAGAGGCCATCCCAGGGGCCTTCCGACTCCCATGCACCCACAAGCAGGCAGAGGATTCTGGCTGGAGGAAGACCGTGTCCCATTGCCCCACGTCAGTCCGTCCGTCAGTGGCAGGGTCAGGACTGGGCTCCAATGGCCCTTCTGGAAACTGGCTGGCCTCGTTCTGACCCTGGAGAGCTGGGCTTCCCCATGAACAAGAATGAGGTTAATCAAATTGCATTTCCAACTGGACCAAAGCCAACCTGCACTGTTCCTGGCGCAGGAATGAAGAGAAGATTCACCTCAATGATGTCCTGGTAAACAAAGTTTCCCACTGACACTCAGTGCCGAGCAGCACTTTACCCCCCTGGCAAACATCTGGTAACGTGGGGATGCAGAAGCCTTTGGGAATTGGATACCTTAGTACATTAAGGTCTATTCCATGTGTCTCACTCTCCTAAATATTCTATCAGTCTGTCCAGTGGACATCAAGTGTCTGTAAAAAAAGAATTAGTTAAAAAAAAAAAAAAAAGGAAAGGGATTTTTTAAAAAAAAAAAAAAAAGGGGTTTTTTAAAAAAAAAAAAGATCAAACCTTAAAGGGAATTGGTAGTTCTGGAAGTCCAGTTGACTCTGTTCCATGAGACTCAGGCCAGGCCCAGCAGGCCTTCTGGTGATCTGGACAGGCCAAGCCTATTTGGGGAACCGTCCAGAACAGCTCGAGAGAGACACGTTCTTTGGTGTGTATGTGGGTGCTGTCAAGGAGGGGGCCAGAGTCTGGGTTGCAGCACCAGGGATCCCTGGTGGTCAGAGACGGTACGGGCCCACGGGCCGGCCCAGGACGGTGCGGAGGTGCTCAGCGGACTGGAGAAGGCTTGACGGTGGGCCTGAGAGGGCCCCACTTGGCAAGCACCGGGCCAGCTCCCTGGCCCATGGTTCTTGCCTAATTGGCAATTTCTGAGAAGTCGGGGTAGGGCTCCAAGTCAGCGAAGATGTCGTTGGGGCTCCTGCAGCTGAGGTTACAGAAGCAGGCGTTAATCCACAGCAGCTGGCGGGAGAAGCCGGGCCCGTCGGGACACTGGAAGGCGACACGGATGGTCTTGGACTTGTAGGGGACGCAGCACCTGCGGTCCGTGCAGACGCCACAGTACTTGGGCTGGTAGGAGCGTGTGCTGACGCAGCCCGCCAGCGTGAAGTTGACGGGCGCCGCTGGCTGGTACACGGCCAGGCACTTCTTCCCTGCCTGCAGGAAAGGTGGCACCAGCTGGGGATCGGGTGCTTGGTGTGAGTCATCACCTGCTCCCTCCAAGGCTCAGCGCTCCCTTCACCTCACCTGGGGGAACCACCCCACTTCCAGGACTAGCTAGGAAGGCCTCGTGCAAACACAGGAGTGAGACGTGGGGTAAAGACAGCCAGCTGCCTAGATGGCACCTCCGTTGCTGTTCCACAAAGCCCAGCGCTTTGTCAGTGTCTCCGGGAGGGAGGGCTCTGCGTGCTTCTGCACCTCAGCTCGGTGCGGACCAGCCCTGACCGCCCTGCTCGGCTGCCGTCACGCAGCGCTCCCCACTGCGTGGCTTTTCTATAAAGCATCTGTCTCTGCACTGAGCTGGGCCTCCACTCTCTGTCTCTTGAAACTGGGGCTCTTCCCGGGGCTCTTTCATCAGCACTCGCCACACTCACCGGGTTCAGGCTTCTCGGGGTCTGCTATGCACCAGCACCCCACAGAACTGGGAGTGGAGCAGACGCAGACTGCTGACTCTTGGACAATTTGGGAGTCCTCTTAGGGCACCCCACTATGGCAACAAAAGGGGGCGGGGCTCACGAGACTGGGTGGGTCCTTCCATCTCCCCCTCCTGCATGGCTCAGGGCCTCACTCTGGCTCCGGCCGGGCTGACTTTTCTATTCCCGCCTCAGTGAAGACGTCCACTGAGAGACCAGCGTGCAGGGCGCACCAAGAATGTCATGCTACTGAGGCGGGGAGATCAGAGGGGGAAGACGGGTGAGGAGAGGAAGAGCCAGCTGACCACGTGTGGTGGGGCGGGTCCAGTGGGTCCAGAGGATGGTGGCCTGTGGTCCAGGGAGGGCGGTGGACAGCTGGGCAACCCTCTCCTCAGCATCCCAGCAAGGCCATCAGTGCCCCCCAAATGGAGCTGGCACTGAGTTCTTCCTTGTTTTTATTTTATGGGACTCCAGGGCGACACACATTATCCCAAGTAACCGCTGGGAGGGGGCTCCATCGCCCCACTTTACCGCCGCCGCCCCAGGCCGGGAGCCAGGCCCAGTCTGAGTTGGCCGCCTGGCCTGGGGCGAGACCCACCTTGATGTGCTGCTGGATGTCCAGGTCGCACGGCCGCAGGTTGCAGAGGCGGCTCTCCTGCTCAGGCCAGCACCGGGCGTTGACCGTGGAGACCCGCGTGGAGACCCCCAGGCCGCAGCTGGTGGAGCAGGGGCTCCAGGCGCTGGTGTAGGCGATGCAGTTCTGCTGCCAGGGCTCCACCTCGCCCGCGGCCGCTGGGGGCGGGCGGGCCAGTGAGCGCCCAGCTCAGTCAGCCCCTGCCCACCCCTCCACGCCAAGGGCGGGGGCTCCCTGTTGGTGGGGGGACCTTTATGTGTGCAGGTCCTGGGGGTGCAGGGCACAGCAGCCTTCAGAGTCCAGTGCAGGTCTGAGCCCCCCTGGGGAGGCGGCACCGTGCTCTAAGCAGCTCGCACCCTTGCCTCAGCCTCCCACCGCTGCACTGGGCTGGTGACCGTACCACCGGCCCCCGGGCAGAGGCCAGGAAGGCGGGCACAAGCCCGTGCTCTGGGCTGCCTGGCCTGGTGACTACTCAGGAAGAGAAGCTGTGGCGGGTCTTCACTGTCAGACTGGGTCTTCACCAGTCTCGGCTGGTCCTCCAAGCTGGCTATCCCCACCTCCACCACAGGGGCGTGTGACAGGTAGCTGAGAAGGGAGAGCAAGGGGGCTGGGAATGGAGGCAGGTAACCAGTAAGGTGGAGAACAGGACTAAGATGCAGGACAGGAGTAAGATGGAGTAGGGAGGAGCAAGATGGAGGGCAGGAGGAAGATGGAGGACAGCAGCAAGAAGGAGGAGGGGGTACTAAAACAAAGGAGCGAAGAGTAAGACGGAGGAGGGAGGAGCAAGGTGAAGGAAGGAGGAGCAAGGTGAAGGAAGGAGGAACAAGATGGAGGTGGGTGAAGTAAGATGGAGGGCAGGAGCAAGATGGCGGACAGG